GGATAGCCTTCAAGACCATCACCTGGAGCCAAACTTCCAGTAAAAAAAGCCCCATTCTTGTACTTGCCAGTTGCATGACCTCAGGCACTTTCAGTCTCTGCTTCCTCATTTGTGTCATGAGACTGATGATACTGACCCATAAATTCATCCTGAGAATGAAATAAGACAGTCTACGTGAAGTGCGTAGACTAGTGCCTGCATATATACTAAGTGCTCAAAACTTGCAGCTCTTCATTCCTATTCATTATTCAATGCATCTATTGATGTTTTCCGTGGGCCAGACATTGCAGCAGATGCTTGGAATATAAGCAGGAGTAGGAGGGCCCTCCTGGAGGAGCTCTGCAAGCCTGGTGCTCTGTACGGTTATCCGTGTTACATGTGTTACAGGATCAGCCTGGTTCCATCATCCCTGTAGTTCACCATTTCTATGTAGAATTATTTGCTCTCACTGAATTCTTCTTATTGTGTGTTTGAAAAATTATCCACTCTACCTTCACAATTCCCTTAGATGATTATATCCATCTCTAAAACTAGATTCTAAACTCCTTGAGAGGAGAGCCCTGTCTATTCCTTAGCATCCAGCACAGGACCTAACACAAACTAGGCAACCATATATACATACATAAATAAACTGACTTTCTTTACATTTTTTTGGACATTAAAATTTCTAGACTGTTTTCTCCTACTCTTCTTGTCCTGACCTCTCCTTGGAGTCTCTCTCACTCTTTTATGTGCCCGACATACGTTGCCCTTTAGAATCTTCCGGCAGTCCTGGGAGGGGGTGTAATCACTCCAGTTTTAAAGAGAAAATTGCAGCTTGGTACTGTGAAAACTGTCCATGTGGCAGGACCGTGATTCTAATCCTGGTCTGTCTGCCGCCGAAGCTCCCACTCCCCCACTCGAGCACATTGCACTTCCCCTCCAAGCAAATATGGAAGAAGAAGAGGGAAATGTCCTTAGGATGGGCCACAGGAAACTAAATACCACAGGCTGTTACCGCATAGGAAATTAATTTTTAAAATAATAATGCCAGCCCTTATATGTAAGGCCACGTGAACCTCCTATTTTATATTTTGAAGATTCTTCCCCCTTCACAGACACGTGGAATATATTTTCGAAGAGTTTTCCTCCTTTTCAGTCATGGGGATAGTTATTTAGGAGCGTATTGTGAAGAAAGGACCTGCACTGAAGAATCAAACAGGCATTAATTTTAAAAAATTGCAATCAATCAATGTAAAATTAAAAACACATTATGGCTCAAGTCCTGCATACTGAAACTTCTCCACATTAAACTTTTATTAAGCCATGAAGATATATATATATATAGGAGGGATTTTATTTTCAAATGTTTTAATTCATTTTCTAAAAGTCAGTGGTAGAATTCCCCTTGAACACGCAGTGCACATTACTGGCAAGAGGCTAAAGCATGTCAACGCTGAGAGCTTCGTAAGGGAAGTCGAACTTGCTGACATTTGGAGAAATGGAACATGTCATTCCCTGCTGGGGCTGCTCTTCGTTTCTGACTCAGACACATATATGTTGCATGCATTTAAGTCAAATTCACTTCTACCCTTTATGGAAACAAGAATACCTCCCTACACCAAAGAGCCCTGGGCAAATCTACTTATTCTATCTGGCCCGGGCTGCTTGGGTAGAGAGAGTCCCTCTTCAGGCAGGTCTCACTACTAAGCTGTCTTCTGGTGATATTTCAAAGACTATTACTCTAGGGCATGGTGTATTAAGGGAGGCCAACGTTTGGGAAAATAATTTGCCCATCCCGCATGTGTCAATAACTTGGAAACTGTTCACGTGCTTGGATCCAGTCATCTTCCTTCTGGAACTCTGTGCTGAGGCAAAGTACATGAAATTGCCATTTGGATATCTCTAGGCATCTTGAATATAACATATTCAAAACTCTTGATTCTTATCCCAACCAGCTCCTCCTGCAATCTTCTTCATGTCAGAAAATGACAACTCCATTCTGCCAGTTGCTTAGACTCCAAACTGTAGAGTCCTTCGAGAACTCTCTCCTTCTTTCCTATCCCATTTCAAATGTACCAGAGAATCCTGTTTATTCTATCTTCAAAATATGTTGAGGATCCAGTCCCTTCTCACCATGTTCATTGCCACTTTCCTGGCACAAGCCACTGTCCTCTGTTTCCTCCATTATGGTTATAGCTCCTGATTATTCTCCTTGTTTCCTTACTTGCTAAAATAGAGTTAGAATAAACTTTAAAACAGGTCAGACTATGTCACTTACCTGCTTAAAACTCTCTGAAGGTTTTTCCTCTCACTCAGAATAAAATCCAAAGTGTTCTTACCCTGGACTACAAGGCCCCATGTGACTCACCTCTCATCTCCCTGACCTCATCTCCTTCCCTCTTTCTTTCTCTCATTCTTCTTCATCCTCAATGGTTTCTCCACTGTTCTTCAAGTACATCAAATACAATCTTGCCTCAGGGCCATTGTACTTATGGCTCCGTCTTCCTGGTACAGCTGGTCCCCCAAATAGGCACATGGATCCCTCACTTCTTTCAGGATCCTGTTCAAAAGTCACCTCATCAGAGCAGCTGATCCTGATTTTGTATAGGTGTAAAATTGCACCTATACAAAAATAGGTCACCCTCCTTCACTCTACTGCACTTGTTCTTACCTGGACTAATCTAAAACTTGAAAATTTTCTGTTTCTCTCACCCCGGAATGTAAACTCCACGAAAGCAAGAACCTTATCTATTTTATTCCCTATGGTCTACCCAGCTCAATGGTTCAAGTAGTACTACTGGACAAAAAGGTGTGGTCGTGCTGGACGAGAATCATTAGCAGCACAAAGCTGGAAACAGATTAATAACCTCCCACACCCCAAAACGGACTTTCGACTATTTATTTTATCATGAATTGGATTTCAGCTTCTCCAAAATAGTGGCTAGTGGAAACCAAGATCTTAGAGATTATCAATATTTTTTTCTGAACCATTTAAGAGCAAGATGCAGAGAGAATGCCTCATCACTCCTAAATACTTTGGTGTACATATAACCACGCAAGGACATTCTTCTCCATAGTTACAATATAGTTGTCCAAATCAAGCAATCATCATTGAGAATAGACTGCAATCCAATCCACAGACTTCATTCAATTTTTGCCAACTGTTTATTTTCCCGTCTGGTACAGGAGCCAGTCCAGGATCATTTGTTGCATTTAGTGTCATTTCTCTTAAGTCTCCTTCAGCTTGAATCAATGAGTTCTTCTATCTATCTCTGTCTCTCCTAAGCTTAAGAATTTTAAAGAAGACCTTTCATTTTGTAGGACGCCTCTCACCCTGGGTCCATCCAACGTTCCCTCGTATCCAGACTCAGGCTGAGCATTCTTGGCAGGAATGTGACAGAAAAGATGCTGTGCTCTTTTCAGCACATCACATCAGAAGGCACAGATGTGACTCATTCCATGAATGGTGATGCTCATCTTGATCACCTGGTCCCTTTGGTGTCTTTCAGGGTCTCATCAATAAATTCACCATTTTCCTCCTTGTAATCAATCAATCTTTTTCACAAGATACTTTAAGACTAGGCTAACATCCTGCTTCACATCAAACACCCATCCACCAGAGTGATGATTGATTTCCATCAATCTTATTAGTTGGCATTCTTCCATAAGGGGAGCTGTCCCTTTTCCCCATTCATTTATTTATTCATTTATATTAGCATGGACTCACGGAATCCTATTTTATCTAACAGGTTGTAATCAATTACGATGATGATTTATTTTGATGTTCAAATTGTCCCAGAGTTGGCCAATGGGAGCTCCTTTCAGCAGGCTCACGTGTCCTTTCAACATGTTCCCATCCTGCTTTGAGCACTTCCCTACAAGAGCTTCCAAGCCCACTTTCCCAGCCCAAGCCCTAAAATCAGCCCTGGTTCCTTTTAACGGAGGGTGGTACTTAGAAACCAAGATCTTCTGGCTATCTGATGTGTCCATTGCTTCTAGCTACTGAATGAAGATAGCTTACATGCATTTTTATATGGATGCAAACACATACATACATATTTTAATGATTTCTCACTCATTTTTAATATAATCCAACACCTCCAGGTTCTTTATAGCTTTCTTTCTTTCCATATTTGTCAAATTCCTTCTCCAACACTAAAAAATCTGGCTCCCATTATATTCACTATTTTCTTTATTTGCCTAAAGCTCCTGTAATTAATCAATCTCCCAGCAGGATGCCGTCTCCTTGATCCTGCCATCTCTTCAGCCTCTAACTTTTCCAAGGGAAAGAAAGGGTACGGGTAGTCATGCATTCTTAATAACACAGATCCTCTAAGTTTTGTAGCTGGAGAAAAATCACTAAGAGATAGAGGTTTGGGGAACTACCTTGGTTTGCTAAGGCATCTGTACAGAACCTGGCTGGGGGTTTTTAGCCAAACGACTCCTCCTTCAGATCTCTGGTGGTTCAGGAACCAGCAGCCAAACAGTCTCCACTTTTGCCTGTTTGGCATTTGGCACTATAAAAAGCACTGTCCCAATTGCCTAGAAGCCTATTTTCTCAAATGAATAAGTTAGGAAAACACACAAAGCCAGCACATCAAATACCATAGAGACAAATTCTCCTAAGTAGTTCTCGTGCCTGCTTCTAATTCGGGTATAGCTGGGATTCTTTGCTCTCCCCTAACAACCAACAGCTGTTTATAGTGGTGCTGGAAAAAGAGAAGTTGTGTTCTTGGGCAGTCATTAACAAAAAGCCATAAACTAAGGTGATACTAAGGTCCTGGGGAAAAGGTGGACTTTCGTTTCCCTCCTGAACTGGGTCCTGGGTCCCCTGAAAGAGTGCCAGGTGTGAAGTACAATGTGAGTGACTGAGAACCATCACGGAAATTATTTTAGAGTCTTTATATGGCAGGTATCTCAAGCCAAAGAAACCGTTGGTGTAGAAGGCTAACAACGACTCAAAACATTTAATTGGTAATGAATTGTGCTGTGTCAGTTTTAAGAACACTACTCGAGAGGGGCTGTATTCTCTGCTGACTAGTTGTGATCTCTATGCACAACTGGAGAACACACTATAAACAATAATAACCCAAACAAACCTCCCTTGCCTATTGATGCCGAGTCCTGTTACCAGTCATGACAACCAGAATAAACACAGTGAAGAAATATCTCACCCAGTTTCTTATAGTTAGAAAACACTCATCCTATAAGAAAACAAATGTCACGTGTTTGCTTTCAGATGGGAGAAAAGAAGCCTATTCCTACACTCACCCTAACAGAGTGGTCCCTAGATCAGCTTCAAGTGGGAACTTATTAGAAAGGCATATTCTGGAGCCCTACCCCAGATGGACTGAATCAGAAACTCCGTGGCTGGGCCCATCAGTTTGAGTTTTAACAACCCCCAGGTGACACTGATGCACACTTAAATTTGATAGTCACTGCCCTAGATATTGCAGGTGTGGTGCTGGAAGGACCTCGCGACCAGCTGGCTCTATCTTTTGTCCCTAGAATGGGTAATTAGGGAGTTCACTGCAGTTCCTCCTGCAAATTGGAAGGTTGTTTACGAGAGGCACGGACATTTCGCTATATTTAAGGCGCAGGAAGTTGTTCCTGTACTCTCAGGTCAAGGGGTCGCTTCCCCTTTTGCCTCCGCCTGGACCAAATCGCAGATTGGGTTGAATTTGAGACCCAGCAGGGGGCGCTGCTGCCCAAAAGGAGAAACCCAGGGAGCGTGGCAAGCGAAGCCCAGAATCTTTGACATCACACTAAGCTCCTCCTTGCACGCACACATTATACACACACACAAACATATACAGACACACGCACACACAGACGGCGTACTCCTCTCTGGCCGCTCGCTCCCACTACCCCCGAGCCGGCCCCTCCCGCGGCAAGCGTGTGCCCGGCGCAGCCACCCGGCGAAGCGAAGAGCGCAGCGCCCGCAGCCCGAGGAAGCGGCGCTCAGCAGTAGCGGCCGCCTCGCCTGCAGCCGGACTCGCTCGCCCGAGCGCTCGGCGGCGGCGGCCGGGACACCCTCGGCAGCACCCCGGGCTTCGAGCAGCGGCGCCCGCGCCCGCCGGGGCTGGAGGGCGCAGCGCCGCCACCCCGCACGCTCCTGGCCCCCGTGTCACCCCTATGAGAGAAGGAGAAGCCGGGCGAAGGAGCAGGACGTTGGGCAGCTGGACTCCTCGGCAAGCGCAGAGCGCCCCCTCCTCCTGCGCCCCTCCGGGGCCCGTAAGCGAAATGCAGCCGCCGCGCTCCGGCTGAAAGGGGAAGGGGCCGGCACCATCCGCTCGCCCGGAATCCGGTCTCCGCGGCGACTGCGTGTCCCGGCCGCGGCCCCTCGGGCCCGGGAGTAAGCCGGAGGAGGAGGAGGAGGAGGAGAAGCGGCCGGCCGGGGGTTGGCTAGGGCTGGGGAGGAGGGACGGGGCCGGGGGAGGGCGCGGGGGGCGGGGAGGGGGCCCGGCGGATAAAGATGGCAATGTCTCTCATCCAAGCGTGCCGCAGTCTGGCTCTCTCAACATGGCTGCTTTCCTTTTGTTTCGTGCATCTGCTCTGCCTGGACTTCACCGTGGCCGAGAAGGAGGAATGGTACACCGCCTTCGTGAACATCACTTACGCCGAGCCCGCGCTGGACCCCGGGACCGGGGCGGCGGGCGGCGGCGGCGGCACCGAGCTGCACACCGAGAAGACCGAGTGCGGGCGCTACGGGGAGCACTCGCCCAAGCAGGACGCCCGCGGGGAGGTGGTCATGGCCAGCTCGGCCCATGACCGCCTGGCCTGCGACCCCAACACCAAGTTCGCCGCCCCGGCCCACGGCAAGAACTGGATAGCCCTCATCCCCAAGGGCAACTGCACGTACAGGGATAAGATCCGGAACGCGTTCCTGCAGAACGCCTCCGCTGTGGTCATCTTCAACGTGGGCTCCAACACCAACGAGACCATCACCATGCCCCATGCAGGTGAGCCGCCCGGGCGGGTGTGGGGCGGGCGCTGGGGAGGGGAGTCGGAGGGGATGGAGGCACCGAGAAGGATCCCGCGCCGGCCACGTCGCTCCTTTCTGGGTAGTTGGTGCTGTGCGAAAAGACGCGTCTCTGTTCTCTGGACCTATTAAGTTTTGCTGTGCGTCACTTCGTAGGGTTTGCAGAGAAGAGAGGACTAACTGTACTGGAGGGGATTAGAGAGTGTGTTCCGCTTAGCATAGCGCCGCTCGGACGAGGGTTCGCCGAGGTGGGCTAACTTTTCCGAGGAGGATGTTGGAAGGGAGGGTTCGTGGGGCGGGGCGCGGATGTCGTTCTGGGTTAGTGACCGGCTCCGCACCTGTTTGGAAGCGGTAGATCTGATAACTCAGCTCTATACTCGGGTGTACTCCTGATGCGGGCGTTTGTGTATCAGGGTAGAGTTACTGGTGCTGGCAGCTCACTGCTGCGAACTCGCTCCTTAAGTCAGGTTTCAGTCCTTCGTGGGAGATTGAGGTCCACCCCGCTCCGTCCGGTTGACGCACGTCGTCGTAAATAATATTGAGAATCCTGTGCTCCGCCAAGCTGTCATCCGGAGAAGCTGACAGGCGGGCGCGATGGTAAATAACAATCCTCAACAAGCCAAGAAGAGCATGGTGGTCATAAAGTTATGCCTACTTTTCCAGCACTGCATTCTCCTTTGCTTGATGGGAAGGTTCAATATGCTGAAGGTTTTCTTTCTGGCGAGAAGGAGAGGATTTCAGGATAGAAAGAATAAGCTTTTCTTAATGATCACAGGGTGCCAGGACCAGAAATACATTATTGCCCTAAAACTCGCTCTTTATCCATTTGCCTGACATAGCAGTGCTTCCGTGGTAGGAACAATCAAAATTCCTCTCCAGGCTTGTCAATGTAAGCAGCTAGTTTTAGCCGACTGCACTCCTTGGGTCCAGGGTTGCTGCTTGTTTCTGTGTGCTTGAGAAGTGGCTCCTCCTTCCCCAGAAGGGTGCCTGGGTTGAGGCGGTGGCATCCAGAGGGAGAAGGAGGGCAAGGAAATGACAGATGCGTTTTCCGACTGGAGTCACCTAATCAGAAACATTATTATATCTGGCTTTTCAAGAAAATAAACAATTACACTACTGAAATGGAACACCAAGCTTTGGCTACATTTGCAGAGAGGGGTGCCTTCTTTGGGGACAAGTTTTCATTCTGAGAGCTCATGTCACCTCTTAGTGAAAAAACCCATACAGTTGGTTTGCCGCTGGGAATTAACAACAGCTGTTTTAGACAAGGAAATTGTGAACCTTAATACAAACAGGTGGGGTGGGGAAAATTCAATACTTCTAACACATGGGCCAGAAAGATGCAGTGTGTTCATAATGAAGGGGAGGAGAGACAGTTAACTTCGAAAAGTTATGATAGAGCATTTGGGAACATTTGAGATACTTTCTTGAGCTCAACAGTTTTGTAGGGGAAAAGATTGTACTCTGACCTTGAGTCATAGGAGCACTACTTACACTTTATGAGATTCAAGGATTTAGGGGACTGTGGAAGAGCACTTCAAGTCATGTAAAGTTTCTTTAAATAAACATATTTAATAGCTAGACCTTGATGGGGCGGGGGCGCAGTGAAAGAGGTTTTTTTGTTCTTTAGACTCCCAGAAGATTGTTAGCTGACTTTGCGGGATTCTTTAAATGTTTCTTTGTGCATTTGCATGAAATCTTAAGCTTGGCTTCTTTGCGCACAAAGAGGCGTCATTTGTTCCTGTCTGAAAAGGTTCTCCCAAACTGCCAACATATTGGATCAATTAATGGCTCGCCTGTTTTTAAAGAAACCAGTGAGCTGATTTTCCACACGATGCTTGATTAAGACATAGTGGATGTAAAGGGCTTAGTAATCCTTTGAAAGTTAAAGACTAAAAAATGTAAAGGAAATTCTCCACTCTCTAATTGTTCTGTTTCCAGAAATGTGTTAATGCTGCATCTGCCAATAAGCCATGAAACTTCCACATTATCATTTGACATACTGCCACATTAGGAGACTGTATTCACTTTAGTCAGAGATTGCATTGATTTCTGCTAACGTCTCACTATAAGGAGATACGTGACCGGGTAGCTTGGCGAACTCTTCTCCTTCCTCTTAAATTCTGCCTGAATCTCAAACAGTGCCAGCACTGGTCTGGCTGTCAGTGTCTTGACACTTAGCTCCAGAACTTGAAGGTTTTACTTTTTCTAGTTAGGTTTGAGTCAGATTTCTAAATTCATCTTAGGAAACAAGTGTGCGTTTTAGATCTAATCAGATATTCTTATTTTGTGAACTTGGGATGCAATATACCAGCAGATCCTTACGTTTGTGAATTTTTTAATTCAGAAGCTCCAAAAAAGTTAACGTCAGCCTTTGCATTTTTTTTTTTTAAATCTCACCTCTCCTCTAGATCCTTTATTTTTGGAAATGATGGCTTTTAGGTGAGGAGAGGGTCTGAATTTAGAGTTATGCAACCCATCATGTAATATCTGTGCATTTGGCATGGCGTGACCCCCACATCCACTATCTTGAAATTTAGTTAAATAGAAACCATTCCCCCTTCCCCTTTCCATATAGCCTTTCTTTCTGATACTTTTTTCCTTTCCTGCTTAAATGATTTTGGATTTCTGCCACTTCTGCAATTATGGTTTCTCATTTGCAAAGACACAGATTCTCCTGAGACAGACTAGTAGTTTTACTTTGTAACCAGTTTTTTAAATCTTTTCTTAAATGTGACAGCTTTATTGAGATAATTCACATCATATAATCCACTCACTTGAAATATCCAATTTAATGGCTTTTACTATACTGACAAAGTTGTACATTCCTCACCACTAATTCAAAAAGAAACCCTGTGCCCATTAGCAGTTACTCCTCATTACTCTCCAAGCCCCCAGCCCTAATTAACCACTAATCTACTTTTTTTTTTTTTTCTGTATATTTGCCTATTCTGGACATTTCATGTGGATGGAATCATGTAATATGTGTTTTTTTGTGACTGGCTTCTTCCACTTAGGGTAGTGTTTTCAAGGTCTATCAGTGTTGTAGCATATATCAGTTCTGCATTCCTTTTTGTTGCCAAATATTTCATTGTATGTACACATTACAGTTTATATATTCATCAATTAGTGGACATATAGGTTCTTTACACTTTTTACTTATTATGAATAATGCTGCTGTGGACATTCATGTACAAGTTTTTCTGTGGACATTTCTCCTGGGTATACACCTAGGAGTGGAATGTCTGGGTCACATGGCAAATCTATGGTTTAACGTTTTTGAGGAACTGCCTCAAAACTGAGGAAAAGATTGTTTTCCAAAGCAACTCCACCATTTCACATTCCCACCAGCAGTGTATGAGCCTTCCAGTTTCTCCACATCCTCATCAACACTTGTTATTGACTATTTTTTTTATTTTGGCCGTCACAGTAGTTGTGAAGTGGTATTTTCATTGTGGTTTTAATTTGCATTTCCCTGATGACTAATAGTTACTTATTAGCATATCTTAATTCTTTCTTTTTATTTATTTTTCTTTTGAGGAAGATTATCCCTGAGCTAACATCTGCTGCCAATCCTCCTCTTTTTGCTGAGGAAGACTGGCCCTGAGCTAACATCCACGCCCATCTTCCTCTACTTTATATGTGGGATGCCTGCCACAGCATGGCTTGACACGTGGTGCCTAGGTCCACATCCAGGATCCAAACCAATGAACCTTGGGCTGCCGAAGTGGGACGTGGGAAATTAACTGCTGCGTCACTGGGCCAACCCCAACATATCTTAATTCTTTCTTTGCTTTTTGTTTTGCTCCTTTTCTCCTTGCTAGCCTTTATTTGTTATTTCAGCTCATACACTTTTTGACCTAGGGAAGAGAGAAAGGGATTAATAGAGAAAAGAGATTCACCCCCTCCAATTAAAAAAAAAAAAAAAGAAAAAGCCCATGGACCAGAGATTTTACATGTCTTCTGTAAAAGGATGTGAGGAAAGCTTTAGTGTTTTAGAGCGCTTCTGCCCGGGTTTGCCTTGGGAAAGAGCAGCAGCGGGGCCCAGAGTCAAAACCTGTGGAGGAATGCAGCCTCTGCCTGGTGATGGCTCCAGAAGCAAACTTTCAGGTGCAGGTAAAGACAGTGAGACCTAGATTATCTCCTTGGAGCCTGTCAGATACCTGTGAACCTCCTTGTAGTATACTCTGAGCAAAGTGATATCAGAAATTTCTAGAGTCAGTTTGGGGAAGGTGTTAATTAGGAATGTAGCCCCTAGAGCCAGCCACTTGAGTATGCGTCCTGGCTCTGCTGTTTTCTCACTGTGGACCTTTGAGCGAGTTACCCAGCCTCTCAGGGCGTCACTGGTGAGATGGGGATAATAGTATCTACCTCACTTTGTTTTTACGTGGATTAAGTGAGTTATACATGGACACTGCTTACATCTGTAGCTGGCACGTAGACATCAATAAATGTTAACCTTTGTGAGCATTGTACCTAGTGACACACAGGAGCCACAAACTGGATCATCAGAACCCCGGGGCTCACGGAGGCCCTGGCAGCCTTGAGAATCAGCTCTTGCTTTCCCCCCTCATGCTTTAGAGGCCAGAGCAGTCGTGGCAGTTTCTGTCTGTGGTTTCTGTGATTTGAGACAGGGTGTTCTAGCTCCCTCTGATGGTTAGTGAACATTTTAGGATTCTCCTGTTGTATTTGTGCTTTCTCTTGGCTTAAATTGGGACCTATATGATAAACATGGTGGGTCTATAAGATACGGAGGCAGTTATGATGTTGAAGAAATGATAAATTTTCTTTTTTTCCTTTTTTGAAGAGTGCATTTGCTTTCTTTTTGTCTATTGCTGGCACGTCGTTAAAGGGAAAGGAAACTAAAATCCAGCTGTCTGGGAAGAGCTCTTGGGAGACTGCTGCCCTGTTAGTGACTTAGAGATGGAGGAAGGGAGGAGATGTTTGCAGTAACTCTCAAAAGAGTAATCTCGGCCCTCG